CTGAGGCTGGGGTTTTTGTTGACACTCTTTTCCGAGATTTTTTCCAGGGAGTTATGAGATACATACATATGTGCACCCCACCCTTTGGATAGTAAAGCTAATGCGTCATTTTTTTCCTCCAGGCTGAGTCTTCACTTTGCTTTTAAAATTAATGTCAAAATGCACCTGGAATAAAGGAAAATTATCCATCAAGCTGCGTTATGTGACGCTTGCTGCCGAGTCCTCGCTTGGTTGCGTCCGTCTGTCTCGCAGATGGCTTTGCGGGCTCTCCCTGGTCATGTGCACCTGTGTCATCCGTGCACAGCTCCTTCCTCTGTGCGCGGGAGGTCTGATCCCCAGCCTCACAGGCCTAGAGAAAGTAAATATTTCTAATATTTGATGTCTTAAGTGATAAAAGCTCTCATCTTGATTCGTGTTAGTAGTTTAATTTAGCTGTGTGTTAGCAGCAGTAAGCTGCTCTACTCAGTCCTGAGTGCCCTAATTATAGTTATCTTTGGATGTTAGTAACTTAGAGTTGGAGACACACAAGAAAAATGTGTTAGATGGGTAAATGATCTGTACTCAGTCCATCCCTTCTCAGGTTCCACTGATTTTACTGTCTTCTCTCAGAGCCCTTTATTTTCACAAAACTGTCTAAAAAGTTGAATCAAATATTGATCAGCTATCATGTGTAGTATAACCCTTTTTATATTAGAGGCAAACAATACTAATGATATAAATTATGTTGATAAGGAACTAAAACTGGTAACAGTGCCTAACAGATAGGAACACAAGCAACTGTTGATAACTTCTTTTTGCGAAATGTCAACTCTTTTACTTCAGAAGAATATTGCATTGAGAAAGTAAAAAAACCGATTTCCCATTATTGTATCTTTTTAATTTTAGACAAAAATTGCTTCCATTCCCAACTTAATTTTATGTCACTAATTGGAAATTTACCTACAATTGCATTTTGTTATTTGGTCTGAATGCATTACGCAGAGAGTGGATTGGCACTCTGTATTTTAGAATGAACAGATTTGTCTGGATATAAACAGTTTTATTTATATTGTGCTCAATTCAATCATGTTAACATTTGTATGAATTTCAACTCCAAAATAAAGACCCATAATTTGTGACTCAAAGACCTTGAAACTGCATCTATAATAGTCTTCAACACCAGGCATTTTCTAACTGCTTGCAGATGACAGATTCTGTGGCAGTAGTGCAGACGATCTGGGAGTAGTGCTCCTGTTCGAAGGGTGCTCTGTGGAAGGCTGTTTTTCTGTGAGAAGCGCCAGGTGTAGCTGGCTGTTTGGTCTTGAGGTTCGTCCCTGTTTGCTTGGAGGCTTCACTTGTTCCCTTGCTGGACATTCAGTGTGGATGGGTCATGGGAACCATGGTCCTACTCTCTGGAGACCCCTGTGTGGCCCGGCACAGCTGGGGCATGAGAGGAGGGCCACTGGTCCAGCAGCCCACAGGCTTGCAGAAGGGCCCTCAGCCCTGGTCCTGGGTTCTTGACATGCCGCTGGCCTTTGGTCTTCAGCACACTTCCAGGTGGAGTCCCAAGCACCTGGACTTCACAAGGATGAGCCTTCAAAGTGTCAGAAGCACCTTGTGCTCTATACAGTACTACAACAGGACCCTGAGGTGGGGTAAGCTCCTTACTGTGACAGACCAAGTGACAGTCATTTTGGTGAGCTGTGGGAGAAGACAGATCAGTGGCTTGGTCAGAGTGGGAAGTGCTCCCAACAAGACTTCACAGAATGCAGAGACCCAGGATGGGCGCGAGAGCATTCAGGGAAGAGCAGGACTTGCTGTGCATAAGGATCCCCTGTGCACCATGCGAGATTGGGTGTCACATGAAAGGCTGTGGACTCGAACTATGTAGATTGGGGTTACAGAGCTGGCAGGGAGTGTGACATTGGAAATGGCTGTCATAGCAACCCCCTTACAGCCAGGGTCCTCTGGCACATCAGGCATTATTCCCAGTGGGCACAGGGCAGTCTTTTGGGACATGGGGCGGGCAGACAGTGAGAGCCTGTGGAGACAGAGGTGTCTTCATGGTGCCATTCACTGGCTTCTGCTGAGGAGCACTGTCAGGAAATGAATGAGAGAGGAAAGGCTGGGCCTGAGTGACAGGAAGTCCTCCTTTGTGACTCCAGTAGACAAGGGCCTCAACAGGCACAAGAGGGAATTAAAGACCAACAGGTAGTGAAATCATAAAAACTGCTTGGTCAGCTTTTTGAGCGAAATCAGTTACCATGAGAAGAGACTTGTTGAGAGCTGGTTAATGCGTGCAGCCTTGTTGCACAGCCCCGTGGCGGTGCTGGCGTGTGAAGGCTGGAGAAGGGCTGTCCCATGCTAGAGCCGCCTGAGTCGAAGGTTGGAGGAGCAGGGTGTGATGAGAGGCAGTTTCACTTGGATGGTTGTGTTCTTAGCCCTCATCTGCCTGGGGTCCTGCTTCCTGCTTGATTTCCTTTGTTAGCATTTGACAACTCCTCTAAGTTGCATTTTTGTCCTTTTTACCTGGCAAGGAGGGCTGTCTGAGGATGCATTGTGAGGAGGATGAGTCCATGACACACAGGCCCTGCTTAGAGGGACAGCTTGCTAACGACAGGGTCACTTCTTGCCCCCGCCTGGCTGGGAACACAGCCCCCACGACCCTGGGCTGCAGATCTCTGCGCAGCTGAGCACAGATCAGGTCTTCAGGTCGAGCTGGCTATTCGCTGCAAGTGGGGAGGAGCAGCCTACCACACCCCCTTGACTGAGAAAATAGCATCAACGGTTCTCTTCCAAGATGTGGCAGCCGCGCCTGAGCAGCTGCTCTGTGTGGAGGAATTAAGTGTGGGGAGACACCTGCGTGTTCTAATTCCAGCCCAAACAGCCTCCTCCTGGCTCCCCGAGGTGGGCAGAGAACACCCAAGTAGAGATGCCTGCCTGTCTGCAGGGGAGAGGTCTGTCGTTTCCTGCACAGATGCCTCCCCTCTGCTTTTTTAAAAAATAAAAGTATAATTCACATACAGTAAAGCATGTGCATACTGAGTGCTTGGTATGATGAGTTCTGACAGTTTTTATGCCCACGTAGCCACCAGAGTTCCTTTGTGTCCCTTTCCAGTTAAGTCCCTTGCTGGCCCTCTGACTTGGATCCGTCCCTGTGGGTTAGTGGTCTTGTCTGAGCTTGGGTGTGATGGGAGTGGAACCTCAGGACTGTGCCCCTCAGTTGTGTCCGCTTTGCTGTGGGATGGCCCTTAGCGACCAGAGGAAGGGCCCTGGCACTCTAGGAAGAGGTGGGTGTCTCCAGGCTGTGACTTCCGTGTCTTTGTGGATGCAATGATCTGTAAACCTGCTTCCACTTGCCCACAGGAGGGTACAGTGCCAGCCTACTCTCCCATCTTACAGGAAAACTCAGCCTCTAGGACGCAGTCAGCTTAGGCTTCGCTCTTGGATGGTTGTGGTGGGGAAGGAGGTCATAGTTGCAAATGATCTTTATGGAAAGGGAATGTGGGAGACACGTTCCCTGCGCCTCCGTAGTGGGGCCAGTGCTAGGAGCAAGGGAGGCTGGGAGGCCGAGAACCCTGATGTGGGCTGGCCGTGCAGCGGGTGGACATGTACTTCATGTCCACTCACGCATGTCCTTGTCACCAGCGCAAGTGGTGGGAGACTGTCCCGACCAGAACACAGCTTTCCTGGCAAGTGCAGTCGGTTTCCAGGAGCCAGAACTGCAGACATACGGCGCATGAGTGAGAGCTGTGTTCCTTCCCTGGGTCTGAGTCCAGGCTCTATTTATACGTAGCATATTCAGCAGCAGATTGTTCAATCTTAATACTGAAACAGTGCAGCATTTTAATATTTTTGTTCTGTTTATTCCCTGTTTTCAAGCATTATGTCGAATGTCGTGCATTCATTGATTTTTGTCTTGGCCAGGACTGGCCACCCAGGGCCATGCAGTGCATTTCCTCTGCTTGGACTTATCCATGGCTGCCAGGCATCATTTTGTGCATCTCTTGAAAGTTTACTTGGCTGACAGGTGTTTTGTCTCTTCTTAGTGATTACTTAAAAAAAAAAAATTGTAAAGAACAATGCAGTTGGATCTACCTGTATTGTCAAAAATAAGAATGCTCTTTTCCTTTTAACTCTGCCGTGTAACTTTGTTTATGTGTGATGTTTTGTGATGCCCTGGGGGCTGCTGGAGCTTTCATAGCACTGTGATAAAAGCCTTGTCCCTCTGTGTCATGGGGGAGAAGAGTTGCTGTTTGTGCTCTCACAGTACTGTGTGCCATGAGCCCGTGGATGAGCCCCTCCTGCAAACATAGCCACGTGCTCCCTGCGCCCAGGGCCCTGACCTCAATGCTCCGTGGAGCCTCGCTCTGGCCTTTCTCCTGTGTGCTCACCCGTAGGGAGAACCGGACTCTTCCCATCCTTAGAACAACCCAGGTACAAAAGGAGAAGGGAAGTCGAAGGCACCTGAGCCCCTTCAGATCTGTGGTCTGTGTGCTCCTGCCTGTGGCCCCGAAGCAGCCCCTGTTGCAAGGGAGGTGCATCTAGCGGTGAACCCCAGGCCCCGTGCTCTGGGACTCTCACCATAGGCGGAGGAGGACCACGTGCCGAGCCAAGCCCACAGATGGGAATTTTTTGATCAATTCAAAACTGAATCGCATGTTTACTTGAAGCTTTTTTTGTCTATGAAATCAGTAGTCCTGTATATTTAGCCTCAGTTTTAACTTAGACTGTGAGACTAGACTTTGGGGGAAGGAAGTGTCCGTGTGGTTCCTTCAGGAATGTAAGAAACAGGAAAACATAGAAGGACTGATTGTCCGTGGCTCAGCCTCACCCTCCTCGCTCCCCGCTTCCCATCCAGCTGGCTGCTCGGTGTCTCCTGACAGAGACCACTTGCTGCCCTGTCATGAAGTAAGCACCAGGCGGGCCTTGACTGTCGGCTGAGTGGTCTCCTTACCTTTACCAGTGTGAAGGGTTAATAAACAGCAGCTCTGTTTATGGTGTTTTTCTTCCCTGTGCAGGAATAATCAAGCTGGGGAGGTGGAACCCTCTCCCCCTCAGTTATGTGACAGACGCGCCTGACGCCACGGTGGCTGACATGCTACAAGACGTCTATCATGTCGTGACGTTAAAGATCCAGTTACAAAGGTGGGTGTTCCGAACATCTGCCTCTCCTTCCTTGAGCTCTGTGTGATTGGAGGTTCACTGCAGAGATCCCCGTGTCCCGTCCTCATTAATTTCCAGGCCTTGATGAAGGGAGGCGGGGAAGAGAGGGGAAGGCGAGGGGGGCGGGGAGCCGGGAGGCTCCCCGGGGCACCTTTATGGCCCACATTCCAGGAGTGTATGCTTGGTTTTGGAGTCGTGAAGTCACTGTCACAGGCAGTTGGGTGGTAGTTACAGCTCTGTTGGGGGCTAGAGGGCCTCCCACGGCCCCACTCATGGTCCAGGAAGCAGGTGAAAGCTGCCATTGTGGGTGGATGAGCCCCTCCAAGGCCTGCATCTGAGTCCTGGTGGCTGGGGTTGGCTCCTGGAGCAGGTTGGCCAAGAGTGCGCTGGTCCAGAGTCTGCCCTCCCTGTCTGGTGGCTGGTGCTGTGGAATGTACATGGAGGGGCAGTGAGACCAGGCCTGGCCCACAAGGGCACCAGAGAGAAGCTCGAGGTTCCTGTTGCTGTTTGTCATAGAGCTGTGAGGGAAGGGTCGCTGTCCTTCATTGTAAGGGTTTCAGATTCTCGCCCTTCAGAGTCTTGGTGCTGTGCTAGGGACCCAGGGGCCCTGTCCTTGCCTGGAGATGCTTGGATGTCTGTCTGGAGAGGTAGCTCTGGTTGGAACTGTGCCAGGGGAAGGTGGCCCTCAGACTCCTCATGTGGTGGGACTCCTGTTGACATCTACCTTGGGGTGTGCTTCAGAACCCAGCTGCACTGGGAGAGTTTAGTGTCACTCCGCCCTGCCGCTTCCATCGGCTCTTGGGGAAAGTCCCATTTCTCCATTTCCAAAGCTCCAGCGTTTCCTAGGCCAGTGTGATGTGACACCGTTGGGTCCTGTCACCTCTAAGAGTTAGTATCCTCTCCTTAGGCCCCGGTGGGGCACACAACCCAGACAGGATGTCACTGAGCTTGCTGTGGGGTCACTGTCACCGTCGCTCTGTTTTGCAGCTGTTCGAAGTTGGAAGACTTGCCAGCCGAGCAGTGGAACCACGCCACCGTCCGCAATGCCTTAAAGGAGCTGCTCAAAGAGATGAACCAGAGCACACTAGCCAAAGAATGCCCTCTCTCCCAGGTTTGTGTCGGCCACGGCAGCCACCTGGGGCTGGCAGGTGGACAGGCAGTGGGCAGGCCGGAGCTTCTCGTCGGGGAGGAGACTGTGGAGCTGGGGGCCTGGGAATGGAGAAGCTCCAGCAGGTGGAACACTGGTCTTTGCGCTGTGTGTGCACAGCTGGCCTGGGGTCTTTAGGAACTCACCCCAGGAAAGGGCCCTATGCATGAGGAGAAGGTCTGCCTGGGACAGCTGGTTCTGATGGCAGTGAGGGGGAGGGAGGGAGGCAGGCTGCCCCAGGCCTCCCTTGGGCGCAGGGCCTGCGTGTGGAGGACTGGGGGCAGCACCGTGCTCCTGAGCAGCACCACAGGCCGTGGTTCTGGCAGATGCTGGCCAAGTCGAGGTTGTTATGCGTCTGGGTGATTGTTTTTGACTTTACCTTTTAGGATGTGCTAGAGTGTGAATGCTTCTTCCACTGACCCTCTCTTGTCCTTGGGCCATACTGGCTGCCCCGATTTCCCAGGCACCCATGACCCCCCAGGCAGCCTTCCCTCAAGTTACACACTTTGGGCCAGGCCTGCTTTGGCAGGGGACTTAGGGTCTCGGGTCCCAGCCCCTGGTTTGAGCAGAGCCTGGAGTACCGTTAATCATGTTCACAGCACTGTGCCCTGGCACCCACATCTCTTTCCCAAACAGAGAGATGTGACCATAAGCACCGACTCTGTGCTCCCCCAGCAGTCCCGGTGTCTGCTCGCCCTGGCTGCCTCTTGGTGCAGTCGGGGCACACTCACCCTTGTGGGCTCTGTGTGTGCGGCACAGAGGAGTGTTTTCAGGCAGCTCCGCCCCTCACTTGGAGCCGAAGCTGTGTTGACAAATGCTTGCAAAAGACACAGCTGGCATACCTCGCAGAGGTATGGCGGCATGGAACATGGCCTCCTCCCATATGCAGTCCACTCGTGGAGGCAGACCCGGGAGGCGGGTGACTGCCGCCATCCTCAGCAAGCCTGCCTATGGGGACAGGTACAGGACCTCTGCGTCCAGTTACGTGGAGGGAGGAGAGGTCACACACGAGCCACGGCCCAGCAGGCCCCTGTCTGGTCTCAGCCCAGCATGCTGTCAGGGTGAGGGCTGGCAGCTGTCTGTCTCAGGTGTCGTCGCGTGAGGTTTGCTGTTCAGTTTCCATTTGGGATGGCCGTGCTCCCTGTGGGCACCCTGCGTGAGTGTCCACAGCCATCTTCCTTGCTTTCACGACACCCCCCTTCCCTCCATCGCTTGCTCCCGCCCTCGTAGAGCAAGTCTGTCTCTGTGTTTCCTGTTCCCTGCCTTCTGCTTTGCTCCATAACTTACCTAAACTTCAGATTGTTTGTACTCTGGGCTCCCCATAAGAAAAACACTGTGATAGTTACCCTTGGGTGCCATGGCCTCGGGGTGTCTGTGTCCCCACAGACGACCTGAGTTTGTCCTCTCTGTGGCAGAGCAGTGTTCTGCAGTGTGCTTCCCACACCCTTTACCCATTTGTCTGTTGATGCACATGGAGGCCCCTTCCAAGATACAGCCATTGAGAGCTGTGCTACTGTGAACATGGTGCGCATGGATCACTGTGCTGGGACAGTCTGTCACTCAATCCCGTGGACTCAGGAAGGAGGCTCCCAAGTGACTCTGGGGAGTGGTTCCTGAATAGGGCTCGAGTGACGAGGGCTGGTCCTCAGCAGCTTGGCTGAGTGTGTGTGTGTGCCCTAAGGAAGGGCACAGAGGCGGAAGGGGAGGGTTAGAATGCCACTGCTGAGTGGCATTTGATGAATTCTCACAATGAAGCAGCTCTTCCGAGCCAGTTTTTACCCTCATTCGCTCCTTGAAGTATCCTTACAGTATCGTGTGAATATTCTTAACATGTTGTCCCTGAGCTGCAAATGACACAGCACACAGGTTTCACCTGTTGCTGCCTGCCAAGTGCTCTGTCCTCAACATAGGGTGCCCAGAGGGTGCCCACTCCCCAGCGGCACACAGTTAACAGGAGGTGGTACCCAGGAGGCTGAGGCAGGAGGATCATAAGTTAAGTCCAGCCTGCCTGGACTCTGCAGGGAGACGCAGTCTTATAAAAACAGTAAGCATCTCTGGTTTGGAATGCTCATTTCCTAGCTGATGTATCATGTGCCTGCCGCGCAGGTAGTTTAATACCACATGGCTGCTTGGCCGCATAAATCTCACCAGCCTGAGAGGAAGGGGGTGGAGGTTTTTAATCATTTCATCTTTCTCAGACCTCTGTCTGTCCAAGCATTTTGTACAAATCATCTTACCCCATGTACATATTTTGCTTTTCCCTATTAAGTTGTGGATCACTTTTAGATTTCTTGTCTTTCTTTGACTCAAACTCCTGAATTAACTCATAGAAGGAACACAAGCTCATAGCTTATGTTGTTTATTGTCACCTTGTTTCTTGTTTTGGGTGGAAGGTCAACTCTTCACCTTGTGGTGGCTGATGAAGTGGAGGTGACTTCCTCCTACGTGGTTGATCTCCCTTCTTTGGAGATCATGGAATCAGCAGCCCAGTGATGGGGCCCTGGGCTCTTCCAGTGGTGGCTTTGACAGGGGACCTTTTCATCTGGGGCCTCTGAGCACCCTGGGTGGAGAGCCATCCTCATAACCATCATGTCTGACATCTCCCTGGGCTGCTGAGGAACAAACACATTTGCGTTTCTCTCAGAAACCTAGAAGAAAACTTACATAGATAAGGCAGTCTGGCTACACTAAGTGTAGTCCAGTGGCACTCGTGATGGCTTTGATTGGAGACACACTTCACATCAAATCATGGTTTCGTCATAACTAAAGACGAGAAGCACCTCGAGGTGGACGCCCAGCTCGAGCCCGTCCTTCATCCTCTAGCTCTGCTCAGGTACCGCACAGTCAAGTGAGCTGTCACGAGGGCGCAGTGTGCAATGCCCCGCTGCCACGTCTCTGGGCACCAGGAAGCTTCCAGTCCACTACGTCACACTAATGTGCTGTGGTCCGCATGGCCTCGAGTGTCCCCACGGTGCTGAGTGGCCCTATGAGCAGCTGGATTCTCATGGCCTCGTGCTGTCTGGCTGTCAACCAAGTCAATCGGCTTGTTAACCTTGGACCAGGAGCTAAACCAACCCTGGCAGATCTGACTCCTCAAACACCTGATCTCTTGTAAAAGTTTCAAATTCATGGTGAACTGTGTGCCAGATTGGATACTTTTAATCCCCTACCATCCATCCAAAATCTATTTAGAATTTCACAGTTACAGAAAAGTCTGGACTTTCTCAAAAGTTCCTGTATTTGGAAAGCCATTTTATTGCCACCTCAGTACCTAACGTGATCCGTGAGCATCTCAGTATGCAGTCCCCAGCTACGCCAAGCATCCCAGGGGCGCCTCCGGGCGTCTCTCCAGCCCTCTGCTGTCTCCCGCCCTGGCTCAGCCCTGAGCAGAGCGTGGCATGCAGTCAGTCTAGTTTTTTAGTAGCAGCCTCTGAGGAGCACAGGCCTCGCAGTGCCGTGTCTCTCCCCAGCTGTGGCACCAGCACCGTGTCACCAGTGGAGACACTCGGGTTTTGGTGCAGTCGCAGCTCAGTCAGCTCAGGCCTTGCTCACTGATGAGCTCTAAAAGTCCAGCTGCGTGGTACTTCTGGCATGACTAGAAAACATGAAATGTTCAGATGAACTGAATGACACATTTGTGTTTAAAAGCAGTGAATGGAATTAGATTCGTTTTTGGCGGGGTGGCAGGTGGAAAGGACTTTTGTCATTGCACCACCTATCATGCAGTACCTGTGTCGCATCAGGCCTCATGGCTGGGCAGAATGCAGCTCAGTGTAGAGCACTTGCCTGGAAGGCACAAGGCCCCGGGTTCAGTCCCCAGAACCACAAGCAAAGGGACGTTGACACTAATTGTTAGCTGCGTCTCTACACACGACATTAAGTCGTAAGCCTCAGCCTTACAGGGCATGAGTTCTGGTGAGCTCGGGATCTCTGGAGACCAGCGTCTCTTGTAGTCCTCTAAAGTTATCATCTTCCAGGTCTGTGTTAGCCCTTTTCAGTTTTGTAGGTCACTACCTAAGTTTCAATATTTCAAACAAATTAATCAGCACCCACTTTAAGATGAGTGTATTCTGTGTTCCCGGAGTACTGTGGAGAAGCCTGGGGATTCCGACTGAGGGTACCACTGTGTAACCTGGGCTGTGAACCTGAGGTGATCCGGTACAGGATGGCCTGTCACTGAGCCGTCCCCAGGTTGCCTTGTTCCTGAGGCCCTCTGGTGATGGTCTGGCAGCCCTCAGTGAAAGGCTTGTAGTGGGCATGCACCGCGCATGGGGTGACTAGAACAAGCCGAGGCTGCCCTGGGAAGTGGCCTCTCTTGCATCTGAACCATTTGCTCAGCCTGCCGCTGAAAACTATGTGACACTTTTCTGTGATCAGTGCGGACAGAAACCTAGTGATAAGATGGTTAGGCCAGACTTTCATTTCCGTGTCACCTAGGCTGATGATGGCCCTGCGTAGTGCCAGGGAGACACCAAAAGAGACACGGATCCCCTGGGATCAGAGTGGCGCAGGCTTGAGGCATGGGCACAAATGCGTATGTCTGTTGTCTGTGACTCCTGCCACGTGTGTCCACGTTGTGGCTTTGTGGAGCACAGCAGAGCAAGGCCAGTGAGGCAGCACCACTCACTCTGCCAGCGCCTCTGTTAGTGTCTTCTGTCATGCTGCCTCACGCCTGTCAGAATGTCCTCTTCCTGGGCCAGTGACTCAGCCCACATCAGAACCGTGAGATCCAGTGGAGAGGGCAGCAGGGACCGGCCACTGAGCTCCAGGGCAGCATTTTCCAGGAAGACAGGGGCCGACTGGGCAGGGAACAGCACGGCTGGTCAGCAGCACCCAGCAGAATGCTGTACAGGTTCACGGAGCAATGTGCACCCTCGGGTGACACTGGCTCTTTGAGTACCCAGTGCCGTGTTCAGACCCCAGGACCGAAACGTGGCTCTTAGAGCAAAGGTGTGAGGTGGACACAGGGCTGAAGGAAGAGCCGTCTGCTGTGTAGGAGGGCCAAGAGGTTCCCCTGAGTCAGGGAGGACCCCGACCCGCCCGCCTGTGCCGTGCTTAAAAGGAGCACGAGTCCGGTGGCGTTTCAGCTGGGACCTACTAAGGCCTGTCTGTCTGCAAACATTTGAACCTGCTAGTAAAACTTGCCATCGACTTGATTTATTGTGATCCCTTTTTATCTCTGCTACTTTGCAGATATGCTATTGGAAGTTCTGAGATAGCTCTGAAGTGCACCATGTCTGGGTTTAACATTTTTGAGATAGATGAGATTTCAAGGCAAGGTGTGAAACCTGGTGCCATTCACAGGGGTCCCTCGGGCTCATTGGCTTCTGAGTGCTTTCTAGATGTGACAGCACGGTTCGCTTGGGTGTGCATGGGCGCCTCGCCCCAGGGCCAGCCAGCGTGTGGACGGCGTGTGTGGCGCCGTGGGACCTTTCCTTCCAGCTGCGTGACTGTCATTTGATTTTAGTGCCGCGCTGGGTTGTGCTTCCTTCCACCCTGAGTCCAGGCAGATGGGTGCAGGGCCCTCAGTCGGGAAGACCAGAGGCTGAGGGCCAGGAGGGCCTCGGGCCCATGCCTCAGAGAGCTTCAGTGGTGAGGCATTTGGGTTGAAACCCAGTACAAGTGTTCCGTTTAGTTTCCCTGGTCTAAAATAGCACTGTTAATTTTTTCATTTGGTGCATTTTCACACAAGTGCTAATCACACATTTCTATAAATGATATTAATTTAGCTTATTTCCCTAAACGTTGTACTGCAGTGTGTAGCACGGATGTTCTCAGATCCTTGGCCGCCTCGAGGGCTGCAGTTGGACGCGGAACAGAAACATCTGAGAGGCCTTACTGGAAACGGGCCGGGCTGGGGCCGCGGCTCGTCACCTCTGCTCTGTTCCCCAGCTGGCCGCTGGCCGCTGGCCGCACTGCTGCTTCCGTTTTGCCTTCCTCCTGGTGCCTCAGCCTCTCCTCTTTGACGCTGGCCCAGGGCTGGCTTTTACGAGGAAGCACTGCCCTTGTTCAGGTGCTGGCTCAGAGCGCGAGCTCAGGTCACCGTGGGGCTGGCTGGCTCGGCTGGCTGGACAGTGACCGCCTCAGGTCGAAAGGTGCTGGACGTGGGTGAGGGCTGTAACACCTGCTCTGGTCCCCAGGAACGAGAAGTCACATATCTGAAACATAACTGAATGTTTTTCTTCTTTTCAGAGTATGATTTCATCCATTGTAAATAGCACATACTATGCCAATGTGTCAGCAACCAAGTGCCAGGAGTTTGGGAGATGGTATAAAAAATATAAGAAGATTAAAGGTAAAACAACTTCCTTGTCTTTAAAGCCTATTATTTTTAAGATGAATGAGTGGTTGGCTGTTGGGCATATATGCTAACTTCAGATATTGCTTATCTGTGTTACATTACAAAAGTAAGAATCTTAATATTTCTGTCATGAGATGCAAATTGGCTCCCTTGAAACCGAGATGGTATTAGAACTAAAAGTAACATTCTTAGCATAATTTATCAAGTCTGAGCTTTCCTCAGTGATACTTGTGAAGACCAAAATCCCTTAGAAATTGAAGAGCAGTTATTCTAGGCTACATCAGCCCCAGGGTTTGACTGCTGATGAACGAATTGGACCGTGTGCCTCAGCATCCGGAAGTCTGGGCGGAAGTGGTTTGGAGACTGTTTGTTCCAGGTGGTTTCCGGGGGGTGGAAGGAAGGGCCCTGCACCTGGGCACGCGTGTGTGCCAACCTGTTTCCATGTGCCAGTGCTGGGGAGCTTGAGCATGTTGTTTCATTTCATCAAGATTCAGTCTCCCCGTTGGAAAATCGAGAAAAATATGTGTCTGGGTAGCCAGAAGACTGAATAAGATAATATTGGAGTAACATAACCTCTTAGTAAACAGTGGCCATAAGGCTGTATGGTAATAACTAGTTAATAGGAGGACAGGAATGGTGCATTCCTGTCGCTGGAACTATGTGTGCTCTGAGCATGTGACGCTTTGCCTTCGCACATGCTGAGTGCCTGCCTCACTTCCCAATAAACCCAGCGAGTCCAGAGGGAACTGGGGTGCCCCTCTATAGCGTTGCCATTCGAGGGCCCTTCCAGTCCTCATTTTGTGTGATTGGGTCATGGTTTGTCACGCTCTGTCACAGGCTCTCATGGCTTCCCCTCCACCCCCTCTGAGGGCCAGGGACATTCATGGGAAGGACTCAGGTTTCCCGGGGCTGGGGCCACCCTTGCCTTTTTGGCAGCTGGGTATGTGCGAGCCCATTCACAAGGTCACCTTCTGAGGAAATGAGCTTCCCATGCATCGCTGTCACTTCCGAAGACAAAGGAATCAGAGCATTTTACACTGAGTATACAATTTGAAAGGGAAAACAAAATGTCCAGCTGTCTAGGAGCAATGGAGCGCATTGGAATTGAGAGATCTGCTCTGCCAGGTGATCTGAAGCACTCAGTGCCCTTCCAGGTCTGGTCTGTGCACTGGCCTGGGAATGTTCATGTTCGCCTCATGTTGGGGAAGGCAAGCAACTGCCTACAGTGGAGTTCTGGGATCAAAGAGTTTCTTTTCTGTAAGTCTTGCCTCCAAGTTTTTCTGCTAAAATAGAATTGTGCAAATGCTTGAACAGATCCTCTCTGGCAAAGAGTCAGAAGAATCACGCAGCTTTGGGGTCATTCATTAGAGCCGTTACTTTCTGCTCTAAGCAGAGAGAGTGTATCTCTGTTCACATAATCCCAGACGCAGAGATGGAGCCCCTTCGTGCCAGTGCTTTCAGAATTGCTGCCAGGATGTGTGTGCGTGTGCGTGCTCACACGTGTACACCTAGACAGTCGTCTTCTCTGTTTTCTTAGAGACTCAGTTCTTTAAGCTCTGGTTTTTTAAAAGATGGTAAATGTACAGTTAAATCTCTTGAGTGCCCTAAAAACAGCCCGAGACCTTGGTTTCCTCCCAGAGTCAAGGGCCCTCCCTGAAGAGGCTGTCAGACACAGTGGGCATGCTAGTCATGCGCCGGCGAGTGTGTGTGTGTGCCTGTGCATCGGTGGGAGGAGGAAAGGCAAGGTTAAGGTATGTGTGAAGTAAACACAAGCTGCCGTAAAACAGTTCAAGTGGTGTTGATTCATCAGCGGAGGGAGTGGGAGGGAAAACAAAGGACTGATGGCAGGTACACTGGTCCCACCAGAGAAACATCAGGCAAGTGGGGAGAAAGGACTTGGGTCTGCAGAGGCCCATCCAGTTCCCAGAAGCTTCTCTCTCTCCACGGAGAGGTTTTCATAGGGAGTTCCTGTCCGCTGGTGCCTGTTTCTCATGGGAGAGTCGTGTCCATCAGTTTTCCAGGTGAACCCCAAAAGCAGTGAGCCTCAGACATGGGAATCAGGGGTGTAACACCAGAATTGCGCCGTGGGGCTTCTCCCGAGGACCCGGAAGGTGAGGCTCCTGTGCCTCTCCCACTGTCTTCCCGCCCAGTTTCCGGTTTGCATCTGGGGGCCTGGTACTGGGTGTAGACCAGAGTGCCGAGCTAGCTCACTGCTGTCCTCAAGAAAATGCGGCTACTTTGTTAAATATGTTTCTTATTATCTGCTAATGTCTGCTTTAATAAAACAGTGGGAACTAAATGGTTGCTTCTTAATCAAAACCATGATTTTCTAAACATAAGCTATGTGATTCTGTTACAAAATGCCACATATAGATCTCCTAGGTCAATTTTTTTTCTTTTCTCATAGAAATAAATAAACAGTAAAAAAATTTATATACTCTGAAAGATCAAAGTAAATATGACTCAAAACTGGCAAAAATAAAAGTCTACTGGAAGGATTAAAAAAAAGATCAGATTGCAAATTCTATAGTTAATGCTTAAATAAATATGAGAAAAATGAACAATCAATAATTTGATATCATTAAAAACAGATGTAAAAGCTATATACAAATGGAATTGTCTGAATTTTGAAGTAAACATTTTAATGTGCATTTTTTGAATTTGTTGTTATTATAGCTAAACTATTTACACTTATCCTTTAAAAAGCCCTAAATTGGTTTGGCTTAGCATGCTAACTTTATTTTCCTCAGTGATCACAGCAAAGCACATTCTGTTTACCTTTTTCTCTTTAATTTCAAAGACAATCAAGGTTGACACAGACGTATTTGCGTTAACGTTGGCATTACTTCAGGATAGACGGGGGAAACAGAGTTTGTATGTCCTGGTTTTGAGGTCCAAGACCCCTGAACCTGTTTCCCAGAGTTTTTGATATTAAAGAACCCAGAGCACATGATGGGTGGGTTGCTTGGTGTAGGGAACTTTACAAAATTTTTCTTTTAAAAACTGCTGCTCACCTCATAGCATCCAGAGCTTCAGGCCTAGATTTTAAAACACGGAGCTTCCTCCTCTCCCAGGCGTAAAGAAGACAGTGCACATTTTAGGTAGTAATGATGCTCAGTGTTAGGAGCTGCAGGGTTGGGCACAAGGGAAAACAGGAATTATTTCTGAGGTCTTGGAATCAGGAAGCATTTACTCCACTGAGCGTCCTTCCATAAACTCTACACATTTTAATACAGTTACCTGCTTTTAACCCTGCTGTTCTTTTGCGTGCCCTGTGGATGTGAACTGGCCCACATCTGTATGACAGCCGGCCGTGTGTGTCCCGGGTACGCTGTGAGCCGGTCTGCTCCTGCGGGACGGCAGGAGTACAGTGACGGGCTCTGACAGAGGAGGTCGCACACGTCCTAAATGCAACTTAATTAGCAATTTTAAAAGTACAATTTTGTATCTAAAATATTTCTAATTTACAAATGTTTTTTACCAAACCATGGTAAATTATGATTTTTAGTGGGGTTAACCTATGTCTCAAGAATTAAAAAGGGTCGTTCAGAGTTCACACAGATCCTGGTCACTGTGATAATTATTTGTGTCATCAAGTACTATGGCTGGGACAAGTGGACTTAGCCAAGCCCCAGACTTTTGCCAGGATGTGAAATTACTCTGTCATATCCCTGTCTTAGTCAATTGCTCAGGAGCCCCTGATTGCTAGTTTTCTTAATTTTATTTGTTTATTTGAACTTATTTTATGAAATATTAAAAATTCTGGAAGAAAGAGGATTTTAAAAACCAGTGTCACTTCTCCAGCCTGGTTTATTCTAGCAATCAGTGTTTTATCTGACCCTGTCTGATCTAGTCTTACAAGATCAAACGTCCAGGCCAGCAGGCAGACAGTAAACAAAGCCCATGAAGGGTTTCGGTAAACACAAAGATTAGATGTTGAATGAAAATTAAACTCCTTGAACTAGTCTTCTGTACTAAAGTGGTTAAGTGGGTTGTGATTAAAAGAAATAAGTAATTATGATCATTATAGCTGAAATGATATAATGTTACCACATTTAAAGCACCTCTTGTACCCAAAAATGATTGTGTCGTTTACAAACTGGTGCCTCTTCGTTGAGTGGCCAAGTCAAGGTCTCCTGAGCCCATTCCACGAAGCAGCTCTCACTGGGTCCAGTGGGGTCCGCGGTCGGGACACCGCCTTTAATCAGCAATCTGCTCTTTTGTCTCTGTGCTGTGTAGCTCTGATGAGATAAAAGAGATGTATATCTTGGGAGTCACAGAGTCACAGAGGAAATTTGCTTTCACCCTGGGATCTACATGAAGGTGTTCTTCAAGGCTGTTTGTCTGCTCTAGGCTCGAATTGTACCTTGCTTGAAAGTAATGCCAGCACCAGATCCTTTGAATTGTGTGTAAATAGTGGACTCATGGACATGGAGTGGCACTTCTTAGCAGCCAGGTTCCGTCTCCCTGATCTTCCAAGCTAGGGCGAGCCCTGCACATGTTCTCCAGGTGTGCTCGCCCCGCAGGTGGCCTGGCCCGGGTAGAGGCCGCCTGCAGTGCCGGCAGCTGGGAGGGCCCCCAGCTGGGCTCGTGTCCTCGCTGGGACTTGGAAGCTCCTTCAGGCCTGTTGGGCGCTGCTGCTCCTACCCGGGTGCGCTCACTCACCAATGTTTAAAGGAGTGCGGGTAACTGATTGCTAATAATGTACATTGCAAGACAAACGTCATCTAAGGCATACTATTTATAAACTGCTTTGAATGCATGCCTTAAAAGAATGAAGCAGTTACCTGTTTTCCTGTCTGTGCAGCCTGCTCTTTGCACTCACTCTTTGAAAGAAATGTACATTCTTGGTTTCTGAAAGCCTACAGTCTGTGTGAAGCCGTCAGTGTTAGGACACATCTTTTATTACTTACAGATCAATGTAAGCATCTCTTTTATATACCTGGCAGGATTCTAAGGGTATGTAGGCTTTGCTTGCGAAAAATTACAGTGAT